TAGAACCAGAAGACACTCGAGACTGTATTACAACTCTTCCATTCCCTACGGACAAAATTTGGAACCTTGGTCATATGATGTTACAGCTATTTATTTCATATTTTATAATTATCTATTGAATCATTTGTATCTGGGTTCCAGGAAGCATGTTTCGGAATAGATAACAGCGCCGGGCTTGGTTAGCAGCTGTTATTTGTAATTCAGTTTTAATTGAGTATTCAATAATTCATTTCGAATCGTCCAATTATCGGCAGATATATCGATACACGTGTACTTGGATCGTGGTCTTTGAGATTCCAAACAGGCATCACCAAGTCAAAGTTAAAAAGGGGTTTCAGTCTGGCCTTATGAGGGGGCTATCTTTGTGACACGTACACTGTACTGAACGGCTGTCAATATGAGACGTAATAAAGGGTCTCTCTATATATTGTATAGTATGAAACTGGTCTGTATTCAAAGTGTATAATTATAAGGCTAGTAGAGTTCTATGGAAAGAAGAACAATGTTCGTTATCGCACATGTGAGTACTTTCTCAGTAAGTTTTCCGTACATTTGGTACAAATGATGAATTCAGTATCCAATATGGATGAATTTGAACACTTCTTTACCTTAACGTAACCGACGGAGCATTGTCTTCCATTGTGTTTCCCGTATACACTCTTGAAATAGTAAATGAAACTAGAGTTTGCATGAACGAATTTGTTGAAGCCAAAATCCTTTTGGCACGGCCAGTGACTTTAGGGACGTTAATCAGGGTATGTAATACAATAAGTGGTGGCAGCACGGAACATGGATGTTATATCAACTGCACGAAACTGATATAAAGCATGTAACAAATCTTACCAAACATTAGCGAAAACATCTACTGTTAAATAGCCTATTTAAAATGGCGTGCGGCTTTGTTGTCAATACTTATTAGCATACTTACGGGTTTCTGAACGTTTTTGACACAGTAACATTCCCGAACATGCAGGAACAGCGTACTTTTGAAATGTGCGAGACTTGATAGTAACAAATAATGGTTTTCACGTCTATTGCAGTACATATTTCACTCCTAGGGCAGAAAATACTTTTAAACACGCTCAATTTACATGTGTTTTGAAAAGGTATTACCATGTCATGTAGTGAAGTAAAATGTTGTGTCAATAGGAAATATGGAATAGCAATCATAATCATTTTTATCAATACACTTTGTACTTAAGTGATGATTAAATATTGCATATAAAAATGATTCAAAGAACGATCCGTACGCTCCCTTATTCCTCCCCCACTGTTTGTGCGTTCTGTGTTTTATATATACCGGTACAAATTAGTATATAGTAAACCTTTGTCATCACGTGTTAGCTGTAGGTTTAGCAGTATCACTTGCCGTAAGAAGGACAAAACAGGCGTAAGCACGTGTGCCACATCCTTTTGATTAATATTGCTCAATTAAACGTGGTTGAATGGAACTTAGGGAGCAGAGATGGATACGTTCTCATTGACTAGTGTACTCTCCGATTTACGATTTATTTCATAGGTTTAATCTGAGACCTTCATTTTTTTCTTCGGGAAAAATGGGCAACCCAATATTTCGTTTTTCATTTTCAATACGTTTCATTGTCATACAAAGGCAAACGAAAATTTATTTTGGTTGAAATAAGAAATCTTGACTGGGATGAAAAAAGGTTTGACGGCAAAATAGCAGAAACTCGAACTTTTGAGGTCTTGATATGGGAAAAACTGAAAGTTCGTATTATACTAAAATATTTCGAGACCTTCATAATATACAAGAAAGACTTGGGGATCCTGAAGAATATCAAGACAGTATAATTTATACAGAGTTATTCTATCTTTGTGGTGCCATCCTCGGAATTCATTGGATTACGTTCACATTGGCTCTCCGTACCTAAGACAGCATAACCCGTGGCATTTTAAGGATACCTGGGTGTAACATTTTGTAATTTTCAAAAGAGCTGAACAACTTGTATAACTTATAATGTTGTGTAAATGTTACCGCAGTCATCTGCACGTTCTTTATTCTTTTTGGTGTTTTTCTACTTTCTTTTTTCTTTTTTATAATGATGATTCGTTTTCATTACAGTAATGGTAGACACAACAGCGTTACTTGCGAAATACGGCTCAGGTGTTAAATATTAAACATAATTGTGTGTTCTCTAAAACCAGGCAGTGCAGCGTAAAACCAGCAATCAGTGTACTGCAAAGGATAATAACAGAAAACATACAGCAGATAGGATTTAATGAAAATTATTTAATCATAAAACATAAATGATTTCAAAAACTGCAATCAACAAAAATCCTTAGAACTAGGAAATATTAAAACTTTATAATGAAGAAGGTGGACCAAAATAGTATCTATGCGCGTCAACCCTAATGTAATTTGTAAGTTCTAATGCTGCGCTGTATAAGTGAGGTTGTGCACCCACTGTAATTAACACCACCGGTATCTGTAACATCCACGAAGTTTGTGGCGCCTCGTTTATCGCGATTTTTGGTATTTTTGATGTGTTGCACCGTTTCTAATATCAGAGATAGACAGAGGGCCAGGCACGGTACCGCCCGTGATGCTAATTCCGATTTAAGTGTTATGTAAAGCAGACGCGATTTTCACGTGCATTACCTACATTCCGAATATACGTTTGCCAGATGATAAAGAACCACTTATCCAGAACATGCAACTACTTGTTGTGCTGTCAAAATGTTTATTCATTCGATCAGAGAGTTAAACAAGTTAGAGACATGTCCTATTCTCACTTCCTCCGCCATTAAAACGCTCCGTAGATACGGATAGTTGCCTAACACAGAAAACATGTCATGCTTTTACACTCGGTAGCCTTAAGGTGTCCCCATATATAGGTCCAGCGAGAAATGTCAGGAAACATTATAACACATAATGACAAGTCTCGCGTGACAAAATGTACATTTCTTAGATGGAAAAGTATTTTCCGTTTTCATGACAAACAACAAACTAATTCATGTAAACTTACAACTGTGTCACAGTAAAACTGATGTCATTTTATGTTTGTATCCGGGTGTATGGTACAGTACCCTACACATATCTACCAACCTCAGCCAAGTTTCTGACACAGTAAAACTGATGTCATTTTATGTTGGTATCGGGTGTATGGTACAGTACCCTACACATACCTCCCAACCTCAGCCAAGTGTGTGACACAGTAAAAATGATGTCATTTTATGTTTGTATCCGGGTGTATGGTACAGTGCCCTACACATACCTACCAACCTCAGCCAAGTTTGTGACACAGTAAAACTGATGTCATTTTATGTTTATATCCGGGTGTATGGTACAGTACCCTACACATATCTACCAACCTCAGCCAAGTTTGTGACACAGTAAAACTGATGTCATTTTATGTTTATATCCAGGTGTATGGTACAGTACCCTACACATATCTACCACCCTCAGCCAAGTTTGTGACACAGTAAAACTGATGTTATTTTATGTTTGTATCCGGGTGTATGGTACAGTTCCCTACACATATCTACCAACCTCAGCCAAGTTTCTGACACAGTAAAACTGATGTCATTTTATGTTTGTATCCGGGTGGATGGTACAGTACCCTACACATACCTACCAACCTCAGCCAAGTGTGTGACACAGTAAAACTGATGTCATTTTATGTTTATATCCGGGTGTATGGTACAGTACCCTACGCATATCTACCAACCTCAGCCAAGTTTGTGACACAGTAAAGCTGATGTCATTTTATGTTTGTATCCGGGTGTATGGTACAGCACCCTACACATATCTACCAACCTCAGCCAAGTTTCTGACACAGTAAAACTGATGTCATTTTATGTTTGTACCCGGGTGTATGGTACAGTACCCTACACATACCTAACAACCTCAGCCAAGTTTGTGACACAGTAAAACTGAGGTCATTTTATGTTTGTATCCGGGTGTATCAGTAAACTACACATATCTACCAATCTCAGCCAAGTTTGTGACACAGTAAAACTGATGTTATTTTATGTTTGTATCCGGGTGTATGGTACAGTACCCTACACATACCTACCATCCTCAGCCAAGTTTGTGACCCAGTAAAACTGATGTCATTTTATGTTTATATCCGGGTGTATGGTACAGTACCCTACACATAACTACCAACCTCAGCCAAGTTTGTGACACAGTAAAGCTGATGTCATTTTATGTTTGTATCCGGGTGTATCAGTAAACTACACATATCTACCAATCTCAGCCAAGTTTGTGACACAGTATAACTGATGTCATTTTATGTTTGTATCCGGGTGTATCAGTAACCTACACATACCTACCAACCTCAGCCAAGTCTGTAACCCAGATCGGTGATGCGTTGGAATTACTATTTCGTCGTGGACTGTTATTGTTCGGCCTTTTTCGGATTGTAGAATCGATTTTCTCGATTAACCTCGATTTTTACTGTTTTGGTGGGGTTTTGGTGGGGTTTTGGTGGGGTTTTTTTTTTGCCTACGGTTACTTTGTCAAACTTACACGTAATAGCTATGACGTCATGACGTCTCTAATGCTAAAGAAATATGTTAAATGAAGTAACAGGAACACACACTTTCGTATAACTGAATAACTTCATTTCTAGCAAGTTCTGAACTTTCGTAATTGCGTTCCTCATTTGAAATACATAAACGTCAGAGGAGCTATTATGGGGTGTTGTTGTATAATTTAAAGTTAAGCTTTTATCACGATAATGTATTCAGTATCCGGCAGTCGGGCACCGTTCACTCTAACATCTACCGACACATCCACAGAGCGATCTCAACTGAAGGCCGAAAAATGTACCAGTAATTAGGCGTAACAGGCGTTTTAGCCATTATGCGGTCAGAATAACCGATACAATAATTGTATGACTCTCGTTTTTGCTCCAGTTTTTAATAACAGTGCCAACATACCTGATACTATATTGTACACTGCTTTATTTTGTATACTTACCTATATCAGCCGTATGTATGGCCGCAGTTCAGTACAACAAGTGTTTTTAATTCAGGTCATGAATGGTGGACATATCCATGATCAGCAGCGCCCCCTGGGGAGTTTGACTGACAAGGAACCTTAATTATCCTAAACAAAGTAAGTGATTGGAATGGAAACTGCTGGAGAATGCCAGTGTATCGAGTTAATATTGTAAAAGGTGCCAATTTTTCTAATCACATTTATTTTGTCCCTCTCCGGTGAAACAGTGCCTATATTACTATTGAGTTTGATAATCTGTCCCTAAGACCTCCTCCGTCTGTATCATATTATCTAACCTACACTGTATGTGGTTCATATTTCTGTAAAACGGTCATAGCTTCATCTCCCTTCTTCATAAACACGGGAGATATGGCTTCGTGTTCTATCTGAGGGATCATTTAAACTGGCAGCGTCATACCACTGGTGGCATTCTAGATGATAAGTTTACGACATAATAAGGAAATGTACCTCTGGCGTCNGGGGGGGGGGGGGGGGGGGGGGGGGGGGGGGGGGCAAACTCACACTAAAAAGGCTCTCTTGGCGATCAGAGACTGGACGTAATGGTTCAGGTATGTCTGACACAACAACAATCTGTATATATTCCATCAAACGTTTATATCAGTCTCCTACGTGTTATTTAATTTGTCATCGAACTTGATCTATATACGCGCCGTTTCTATCATCCAACAAAGACGTCACTTTCAGTTATGACACTAAAAGTATCAATTAATATGTTTAGCGTCAAGTAAATTGATGTAAATGATCTTCCGTTCAAAGTCAGCTCTATCGTATTTACGGTTCCAGATGAAGTTCAGCTATATGTTAATGACAATAAGCTGTTTATAGGTAAAGTTCAGCTTCATCCTATTGACGGTTCGTTGTTCCGAGGGAAAGGTCAGCTGTATCTTATTGACGGTTATCTGATCTTAGTTGAAGGTCTTCTATATCTTATTTACGGTCAGCTGTTCCATGGTGAAGGCTAGCTATTTCTTATTAACAGTAAGCTGTTCCTAGGTAAAGGTCAGCTGTGTCTTATTGACGGTTAGCTGTTCCAAGGTGAAGGTCAGCTGTATCTTATTAACAGTTAGCTGTTCCTAGGTAAAGGTCAGCTGTATCTTATTAATAGTTAGCTGTTCCAAGGTGAAGGTCAGCTGTATCTTATTGACGGTAAGCTGTTCAAAGGTTAAAGTCAGCTGTATGTCATTGACCGTTCGTTGTTCCAAGGTAAAGGTCAGATGTATCTTACTGACGGAAAGCTGTTCCGAGGTGAAGGTCAGCTGTATATTATTGACGGTTATCTGTTCTAAGGTGAATGTCATCTGTATCTTATTGACGATCAACTGTTCTAAGATGAAAGTCAGATGTTTCTTTTTGACGGTCCTATGTTCCTAGGTGATGGTCAGCTGTATTTTGTTGACTGCAAGCTGTATTAAGATGAAGGTCAGCTGTATCTTATTGACGGTTTGCTGTTCATAGGTGAAAGTCAGCTCTATCGTATTTACGGTTCCAGATGAAGGTCAGCTATATGTTAATGACAATAAGCTGTTTATAGGTAAAGTTCAGCTGTATCTTATTGACGGTTATCTGATCCTAGTTGAAGGTCTTCTATATCTTATTTACGGTCAGCTGTTCCATGGTGAAGGCTAGGTATTTCCTATTAACAGTTAGCTGTTCGTAGGTAAAGGTCATCTGTATCTTATTGCCGGTTAGCTGTTCCAAGGTTAAGGTCAACTGTATCTTATTAACAGTTAGCTGTTCCTAGGTAAAGGTCAGCTGTATCTTATTGACGGTAAGCTGTTCCGAGGTGAAGGTCAGCTGTATATTATTGACGGTTATCTGTTCTTAGGTGAATGTCATCTGTATCTTATTGACGGTCCTATGTTCCTAGGTGATGGTCAGCTGTATCTCATTGGCGGACAGCTGTTAGGTTGTAAGGGTCAGCTATATTCCATTGACGGTTAGCTGTTCCTATGTGAAGGTCGGCTGCATCTTATGACGGTTAGATGTTCTAAGATGAAGGTCAGCTGCATCTTATTGACAGTAAGCTGTTCCAAGGTGAAGGTCAGCTGTATCTTGTTGACGGTCATATGTTCCTAGGTGATGGCCAGCTGCATCTTATTGACGGTTAGCTGTTCCAAGGTGAAGGTCAGCTGCATCTTATTGACCGTAAGCTGTTCCACGGTGAAGGTCAGCTGTATCTTATTGACGTTCCTATGTTCCTAGGTGATGGTCAGCTGTATCTTAATTTGTTTTAATAATTTGTGTGTACTCTAGCTTCAATTCACCGTGTTTGTCACTGTCTATGGATTACCTCCTTAACGTGTGTCTGGTTTGCACAACTTAAACCCGAATGATATTCTTTTCGTATTTATAAGTGTGCATAGCGTGCAAAATGTGTTCAGAGTAACAGGTATAATGGGAGTGCAACATGGGAACATTATATTGTTGTATTTTTTGTTCAATTCGAATCGTACTCCGCTGGAATGACGTGTTTAGAGAGTCTATTGTTATGTATATGTATACTTGTCTGTGAGACATCTTTTATCTCCTTTACGGTATAAGGGGAAAATAAATCCAATCCGGATAATGGTAATGTTTTCCTTTTTGTGTGTTATTAGTTTGTACATAAACTCAATAGAAGTTGAAAGAATTGTATTTTAATTTTGTCGTGATCGAAGGAATAAAAAGGTGACAGGTGTAGATTACCTTGTCTCTATTTCGTTGTATCCGATACCAACTCGCTAAAGAAACAAAGTGCAGTACACTCTGCGTGTATAAGACACAAAAAAAGTCAAGTATAGAAAGAGGAAATGACGGTTAAACGTGAGTTATCAATAGCGTAGAAATACTAGAAATACCATATGACGTCATTAAGCACAGAATGTTTAGTTTTCGTGGTGAGCTTACTCATTAAGTCGGTAAGGCGATCACGTGACACCAGCACATTCCTGGATAACAAACACATCATCGCAATATGACGATATCACGTGCAACCAGATTAGTTCTGAGGAAAGTGAAGTTATCCGTTTTTAACCAGATATCTGCTCAGTCCTCCGTATATACAGAAAGAGAAGGAATATCGTGCGCCATTTAAATGCTGTAAATTATCGAATGCGAAAACAATAAGTTTAACTGTGTAATGATAGTGATTTTCAATTTAAATAAGAAATGTTTTGGAGACAAATTTAACAGAATTTGAAGATATTATTTTCGGAATCAAAGAATTTGATTTAGTGAATCCTTGTCGTCATTCTTTATTTACTGCCTTCGTGTTTGCGAATGTCGATGATTTAAACACAAATAAATATTAACGTGGACAATTTACCGATCACCTAAAGCACTGACATGAGAAAAGTTGGCGAGGAACATCGATTTCTTGTTATAAACAACTGCATAGATTTTATTTTGTGATGAACATGTCATCATTATCTGTTATCTGTTACGAAATGAATTCACATTTACGTTTAACAGAAATGAAGTTAACTGTACATGAACGATATTTTTTCGAATCCATCAATGATATGTAACTGTATATGGATTGTCAGCGTGCAGCATCAGTCTCGGTAGGCTAGACAGTGTATATGTGGTACAGCCCTAAATCATACATTTTGATCAATTTGGTCCTACCTAGATAGCCCAAAAATTATATCCCAACATCCCTAGTCCTACTTAGTCCTACCTAGACGGTGTAACTAATGTAGTTCATTTCGCTAAACGGCTCTTTGTTAAGTTCATTCCGGTAATTCTGTAGCAATATACTTCCTATTCAAGTAAACGTTTGTAGTCAGTCACTCAGTATACGATGCTGTTTATCAAGCTTATGTGTGACCATGAATCAACTTTTTTTCACCATAAGTTATTATGGCGTCCATTTGATTGTACATGCGGTCTTTTTCCTATTTCTACAGTCTTATTGTCTGTTTTCGACAGTCTTGGTTCTACTTTGAGAGTCCTACAGTCCCAGTTCTACCTAGAAAATACTTTTCCTGCCAAGACTGTCCTTTTCCTTCCTCGGCAACCATATTCCTACTTTGACCAATCTATTTCTACAATAGAAATAAACATTGACAGTCAAATACAAATGGCTTTATATTCTTACATCAACAGTTTATGAGTTGCTTCGGCAGTCGATCAGTCCTACCTCAGTATCCCTACTTTTCTATCCCGGTTGCATCACAATAATAGATGTACCTGTACAAGCTTGCCTTGGTCGGTTATTATATGCACTCGATCGTTTCAGCAGTAATAAAAACATAACAGAACATTAGGCTTCCGTAACAAACATCAGAAAAGGTGATAATGCAATAACACAGTATCAAACCACATACCATTGACCCAATATACCGGTTTGAGGGTCTGACCATTCTATTCTCGTCATTCATCAATTATTGCTCCCTCCCGGTCAGAAAAAGTAATAGACGTTGTAATGACGGACCGCTCCCCGAGTTCTTCCTGTCAAGTTGTGGATTCAGGTCGTCGTCCGTCTGATCAAAGCTGACGTCTCATTGACCTCATTTCTCTGACATCACAAAGTCTCAATAATCTAAAATACTTTCACCAAAACATGGCATACGGGGAGCTTCCGGAAGTATGATTTTGATTGTATTGATGTCGAGCATGAAAATCATTCGCTCCATTGATCAAGGTCGCCATCCAATCTGGCGAATTATACCAGGTGATCTGAAAAACCGATACGACTTGAGCCTGTATATGATTTCTGCCGGTCATACTTTCATTCGCAGATGAATGTCAATGACCATTTTATTGATTGGGTTAGCCTATCAGCTCATACGTGTAGCATTTATGAATGGCACAATGTAATGCATATACATTAATGTTCCTATATAAGTATTACGCGTATGTTTTAACATTGGCGGTACATGTATGTTTTAGTATTGGCGGTACATGTATGTTTTAGTTCTGGCGGTACATGTTTTAGTATTGGCGGTACATGTATGTTTTAGTATTTGCGGTACATGTATGTTTTAGTATTTGCGGTACATGTGTGTTTTAGTATTGGCGGTACATGTATGTTTTAACATTGGCGGTACATGTATGTTTTAGTATTGGCGGTACATGTGTGTTTTAACATGGCGGTACATGTGTGTTTTAGTATT